CTGCTTTTGTCATTAGGAGCTGCTCTCACACTGTGGGTGTGTGTGTGTGTGTGTGACTAATTCTCTTAACGTTCCATGTAAATTAATTAGAACAAATTTGATTTTGCCCAGTTATCTGTTCCTGAGGTCCATTTAAGCTTTGAGTTTTTTCGACCCAAGTAAGCCTGCAGGGCCTGATCAGTTGGAACCATTGTATCTAAAGCTAGCAGCTGATTTAATTGCTGAACCGTTGGCTTATTTAATCTTTTTATTTCCCCATGTGAAATCTCAAAGATTTGGAAGTCTGCTTTTGTTTCTCCTCTTTTCAAAGAGGGGGGGGGGGGGGGGGGGTATCTAAACTGTGTGTTTTATCTAAGCTCTTGAAGAAATGACTGAATGAACAATTAAAAACCTTTCTGGAAATAAATATTCTTTCCAATCTGGATTTAGAAAGCAGAATAGTACGGTTATTGCTGCTATGAAAGTGTTTAGTGACATTATTAATGCCTTAGACTGTAAACAAATTTGTTCAGCTCTTCTTGATTTATCGAAGGCTTTTGACACCGTGGATCATGGCATACTTTTAAAAAGACTTTGTGGTTTTAAAAGATTGTTCTTCATCTGTTTTGTCAGTTTCCAAAGGTGTCCCTCAGGGGTCTGTTCTGGGACCCATTTTATTTTCCTTGTGTGTGTGTGTGTGTGTGTGTGTGTGTATATATTATAATAATAATAATATTTGCGATAACATTCCCAATGCTAGGTACCATCTTTATGCAGACGATACTGCCATTTAATGCTGCACTTCATCAGCCTCACAAGCTCTTCAGTTCCGTTTGTCAACTTAAGATGGTTTGAAATACAGATAAAACTAGTTTGATTTGTTTTTTTTTTCTTTTCAAATTCCAAAGTTTTACCAAGTTATGTTCCTGATATTATGTCCTTCCAGGGAACAAAAATAGAATGCGTTGTAAGTTATAAGTACCTGGGCATTCTATTTGCACATGCATGTACTTTATATGAGAAGGCAGAGTTACCATCTCTGTGTACTGGAAGAAGTTTTAATTAGTATTGTTTCATTTAAGTCTATTTGTGGTGTAACTCCATCTTACTTGTCTGTCAGTTTTTCTAATATAGATGTGCGCTATAAACTTCGCTCAAATGATCTGTTATATTTCAAAGTTCCTCGGGTTCGAACAGAGCTAGGAAAAAAGGGTTTTGGATCTAATGCGTCTTTGGCTTGGAATAATCTACAAAACATCTTAAAGTTTACCATGCTTCTGTCATTAAATCAGTTTAAGCTACTTTTAACAAATTATGTGTTTTATCCTCTGGTAATGTAACGGGGTTGGTGAGACGTGTGGATCCATCTGCAGGCTTTATTAAAGAGACGTAGTACACAGGCAGGGTCAAAACAATGGCAAACAGGTATACGGCGGGCAAAACAAGAATAGTCCTAGGGCTAGCGTAGGTCACCGATCAGCAGACAGAATCAAAGGGGCGAGACGAGAGGGAGAAATCCAAGGAAACAGGCAAAGATCAAAAACAGGCAAGGCAAGGCAAAACAAGGGAGACTCGGAAAGGGGTGCAGGCAAAACACTACTCAGCAGAGAAATGTGGTTAGAGTGGGTGTTATATAGTGAATGAGGTAATTAGAAACAGCTGTGTGCAATGAGTGCAATCAGGGCAGTGTGCAAATTGTGCAAAGAATGATGGGAAATGTAGTCCGGGGTGCTATGCAACAGTTTGTGTAGTGCGAGAGTCAATGAAATGGAAAGGGTGACCTCTGGTGGTGAATAAACAGAAGTCCATGGACTGAATTCGTGACA